AATATATATATATATATATATATATATCCATATATATATATGGATAAAATGGAAAAGGTAAAATAGAAAACTGGGAAGCAGACAAGTATTTGTAAATCAAGAGTTGACTCGTTGAAAGGAAAAACAGAATAAACAAACTAGAGTTATGAGAAAGAAGACCCAGCAATACATAATTATTTGTGAAAAAGGTTTTTTTAAATTATGGTGAAGCAGCATGCATACTTGCTGAGCAATATGGGTGATGACGTACCTCAAGTACATTGGGGTGCATGCAAATTGAGTTATGGATTCTTAATCTGGAAAAATGTAAAAGACTAATTCACTCGGGGGAAAAATGAAAGCGTTTAGAGTCAATTTTTGCTCAAACTTTGAAGAAATGGCTAATTATTATGTTTTATAAATATTTCTGCAGCATGTGAAAATACAGGAAGCATCCCGGATTTGCAAAATAAAAATGCTATTCTAATTCCAAAGCAGATTAAGATAGCATAAAAGTCCTTTTTTAACTTATTTTAATACTGGCTATGAACCAATATGAGTAGGACTGATAATATAATGTCACATGAAAATGCAATTCCAAATGATAAAAACACTGAATACAATTATGACAAGACAGATATGTGGACGAAGCTAAGACATTATTTTGGGCAGAGGGAGTTAATTTTGACGAGATGAGGTAATTGGAGGTCTGTTTTGCAAAAAGACAAAGATTAATAAAATTCTTTATGTTGCCCAGTCAAAACAAAGTCTACAAAAATATGCCTGAAAAACTTACCCGATGTGGTGAGTCTTCTGGAAATACTCTTTTCCAAGGTAGCAAAATAGAAAGTCAAAGAGGGACCAGTGTGCTTTCCCAGTGAGTGCTCTTCAAAGTTGAATGTCCCCGCCGTTTATTTTTATTAGCGCATTCCAAATGCACTTGGTCCATATTGTGGACTACTCCTTTGCCAAGTTTAATTTTTAAATAAAACTACTTTATTATTATTATTTTAAGTTATGCAAGCAGCCAAAAGGCAACCTAGACATGTAACCTTCTGTATTTTTGTTTTTGTTTTTCATGCATGTTTATGAGCTTATAAAAAAGAGTCGTTTTTCTTGGCTTTTGTGAGTGGAGAACCAACATTGGCCCGTGGTCTAAGACTAGTGTACAGAGTTATCGACCGAACAATAGATGGCTGTTGTCTGTGAATCAGAGTGACAATCTTGCTTGCTCCTTGTCTAGCCGGTGTACCACACATGCATACGTCATAGAACGGGGGCTTGAAATCAGTGCTTTCCCTGTAATGGCTATCATTTCCTCTGACTTGACAAGTTTATTCTGAATTCCTTCTGGTTGTAGCTTTCTTTCTTCATCTAAATAGAAATCTTCAAAGTTTGGTATGAACAGCGCCCACCCACCTCAACCAGAAAAACCAACCCCACGGCCACGGAGTCAGCTCTGACCCCTGAAGTTTCCTAAAGGGAACCTTTACACGAGCAGCAGCCTCATCTTTCTCCCGAGGGCCAGCGGGTGGGTTTGGACAGTGGACTTTGCAGTTAGCAGCGCAAAGCCTGAATCACCAGCCCCTTTACCCTCCTGGAGGCAGTGGTAAATAGTATAGAAATGTTAACATTTAAATTCTTTTTCACTCCTGGATACTTCCTAGCGGCTTGCCTTTGCAGAAAGAGTATATCCATTTATTTGGCTTTTGAGAAAGAGTTGCTACTCTAAAGTGCATTTCATTAGCTATCTGGACTCAAACACCGAAGAGTCAACGTGAGGGTAGAAAATTTTCACTGGATTCTATCTATTTCACTTACTTGTGTTAAATTCTAGGTGATAGAAATGTGCTAGATTATAAAGCAGTAATTCCAGTTGAAGCTATATTAGAAGACAGCAAAGCAGATACAAAAAACCGGTTTTGCTGCGTTTGTGTGGACTTTGAGTCTCTCTCTCATACCAATTTTTGACATCATGCCACGTGCGTCGTAGGCTTTGGACAAAAATGGTCAGAACATTTCTGACAGCAGTAGTTATACCACTGAAAAAAACGCTGTTGTGGGGAGGGGGGAAATGAGCTGATACTAAGGGCTCAACCAGAAAGAAAATGTTTTGAGAATGATGGTGGCAACATATGTACAAATGTGCTTCACACAGTGGATGGATGGATGGATTGTGATAAGAGTTGTAGGAGCCCCCAATAAAATGATTTTTTTAAAAAAGCGGTTGCTTCCAGGAAATTCAGTCACTTGGCATCCTCTGTTGAGTTAATTGGTCTAAACCTAAATCTAAGTCAAATTGATTGGTCTAAATCGAAATCATTTTCATTTATATTAGATTTTTGTTATGTTAGACACAATGAGGCACAGTAGACCTGTCTGTAGTTTCCAAGGCGGTATGTCTTTGCAGAAACAGACTGCCATATCCCTCTTACATGGAGGGGCCGGTAGGCTTGAACCCCCGACCTTCAGTTAGCAGCCAAATGCGCTAATGGAGTTTACCCTGTGTTAGGTTAAACTCTAAGCCTCTGCCATCAAATCGAGTCTGACTGACAGCCCCTCTGTGTAGAGTTTCCGAGGAGCGTCTGATAGGTTTGAACCCCTGCTTTGGGGTCCCCAGTCCAGCACTCACCCAGCGGTGCCACCAGGCCCCCTAAGCGGACGACCATCTTCAGGTTTTGGTTGGAGTGGTTCCTGTTACACTCCGAGGAGTGTCAGGGTGGGACTCCAACCCTAACAAACCCAGGTCGAATCCAAGTGGCATGAGGATTAGAGTAGAACTGTGATCGGCAGGGTTTTCAGAGGCTGACTTTTCCGAAGTAGATCGCCAGGCCTTTCCTCTGAGGTACCTCTGGATGAGCTCAGCCCTCCATCCTTTGGGCTAGCAGCCTGGCCCATGAACCACTTACACAACCCAGGGACTCCTGCTTCTCACGATGCCCGCGTAAGTTCTAGAATACACGAGTGTGTGGGAAGAGAGAGAGGAGCAAAGGAGCGCATCTTCTCATGGGGTTATCGTTTGCCAAGACATCATGTTCCAAAATGGCCTTGGTCAGCCTCCCGAACTGGCTGTCTACTTCCCAAGGCTTCAGTCCTCACAGTGCCTTGGTTTTGTTCCAATTCTCCAACCAATGGCAGGCCAGCCAAGTGGACGCTACTTCCCAGACTAGTGAGTGTGTTTTTATCTCAATCAAAATCCTCATTTCTTCCGAGACATTCACCTGCATCTGAAGTAGGGGGAGTCAATCTGAGGACCTCACAGGAACATAGACATATAGACACTCCACCTATAGACTTGCGATGAGCCTCAAAAACTCACTGCTGTCAAGCCAACGCCAACTCCTAGCGACCCTGTAGGACAGGGTAAGACTGCCCCTGTGGATTTCTGAGACTGTCACTCTTTACAGGAGTAGCAAACCTCATTTTCCTTTCCAGGAGCGGCTTATGGTTTCGAACTGCTGACCTTGTGGTTAGCAGCCCAAGGAGTAGCCATTGTGCCACCAGGGATCCTCTGTGACATACCAAAATTCAAAACCAAACTCACTGCCTTCAGGTCAGTGCCAATTTGGCTACTCTATTGGACAAGCTAGAGCAGTCCCTGTGTGTTTCTGAGACTCTATT